AAGAAGCTGCTTCTTCAGTAGTCGATAGTAAACCAGAAGACTTGCCGGCCTCCATAATCACATGAGCAGAAGTCCTGCTCAAGAGAGCCCAGTCTAATTCATTCCCACTTTCCCTTCCTTCTTCCCTCCCTCCCGCCTGTCTCTCCCTCCTGCCTCACTCCTGTTCTCCCCCTCTTCCTCTTTCTCCTTCTCTCTCTCTCTCTCTCTCTCTCTCTCTCTCTCTCTCTCTCTCTCTCTCTCTCTCTCTCTCTGTCTTTCATCGGCTCTGTTTCTGTTTCTAAACACTTTTCTTGATTGTTTGTGTTATTCCTGTGCCAGTACCATGGCATTTGGTTCTTGAAGCTTTATAGTTTCGTGAATCTAACCACTTCTTCTTTGTTCTTTTAGACATCTCCCTGGCTATTTATGCTTATCTGTTTTGACTCAAATTGATGTCTAGGGGGGCTGGACAGATGGCTCAGTGGTTAGGGGTGCTTGCTATTATTACAGAAGATCCGAGTTTGGTTCCCAGCACACATACTGAGCAACTCAGCCTCTAATTCAGGTTTAAGTGGATCTGACATCATTTTTCTGACTTCTGTGTGAGTGCGCACATACACACAATTTAAAACAATAAAATGAGGCTGAAGAGATGGCTCAGTGGTTAAGACCACTTGCTGCTCTTGTAGAGAACCTGAGTTCAGTTTCCAGCACCCACATGGAGGCTCACAAACATCCATAACTCCAGTTACAGGATATCCAATGCCCTTTTTTGGTCTCCTTGGGAACTAGTCACACATGTGGTATGCACATATACATGTAGACAAATACTCATATACATATAATAAAAATTTTTAAAATAAAACCTTTTAAAAGTAATGTATCCACTTTAAATCCTATTGGCATATTTACTGGAGCTATATTAAATTATGGAGACTAAACAATTCATGGAAAATAGAACAACTTGAGGAAAACTGACACCATTATTATGTCTTCCTGGTCAGTAACAGAGTATGAAGTTAATTAAGTCTTCTTCAGTATCCTGGAAGATTTTTAAGTTTTATTGTTAGCATCCCTTGTTCAAACTACTTAAATGTATTTTACAGTTTTATTCTGATCACATCTATATCTTTTTTTATTATATGTTTGTATCATAATGTCTTTTAACTGGCATATATTTGATATATATTTTTATGTCTATACATTAACATTATATCTCACCAACTGCTAAATTATTTTGTTTTTGTGTTTTTTAACTGGTTTCCTCACTTATTTTATTTTTTGATCTGATTATATGGGCTATTTCTACAACATTTCTTGCTTTTTGTATTTGAGACAGGGTCTCACAAGTGTTTGGGGTTAAAGACATGTGCCAACACACCCAGCTCTATCATGTATTTTTTAAGAGAGAGGAGTAGTCTTGGTATATTGCTCAGCCCAGTTTTGAACAGCTAGGCTCAAGTAATCCTTTTGCCTCAGACTCCTGAGGAGCTAGAACTGAAGGCATGCACAGCACATAAATAATTCTAGAATATATATATTGGTTTTTCGAGACAGGGTTTCTCTGTGTAGCTTTGCGCCTTTCCTGGATCTCGCTCTGTAGACCAGGCTGGTCTCGAACTCACAAAGATCCACCTGGCTCTGCCTCCCAAGTGCTGGGATTAAAGACGTGTGCCACCACCGCCCGGCCTAGAATATAATTTAATATAACATTTAATATGGTAACAGTTACTTCCAGTGGGCATGGCGGAGTGTACCTGTAATCCCAGAATTTGGGAGGTAGAGGTGGGAAGATCAAGAGTTCAAAGTCATCTTTAGCTACATAGTGAGTTGGAGACCAGAGTAGGCTACATGAGACAAAAAAAAAAAATTACTTTCATCTTAAACACAATGGTATTTAAAATGGTATTTATTTGGTATTCTGTATCCATGGGTTCCACATAAATATTAGAAAAGTACTATTGGTACTCAGGAGGCAGAAGCAGGAGGATAATTGTAATTTCTTTTTTATGAGAAATATTGATTCTCTATTTATTTTTTAGAAATACTGATTTTCAAGTTTTTTAAAATTTTTATTTAATTAACAGTTTTTCACTTATTTTTACATACTGACCACAGTTTCCCCTCCCTCCTCTCCTCTTATTCCCTCCCCCTAACTCCCATCTACCCCTCTCCCCATCCACTCCTCCTCTGTCTCTCTTCAGAAATGGGCAGGCCTCACATGGGCTTGAACAAAGCATGGTGCATCAAGTTGAGGTAGGACCAAGCTCCTCCTCCTGCATAAAGGCTGGGCAAGGTAATCCAGCATTGTAATTTCAAGGACAGCCTGCTCTACACAGTGCATTCTAGGCCAGCCAGGAAACTGCTTCTATTGAGCATGTACAGATATTTTTCTTGTCATTATTCCCTAATCAATATAGTAGGAAAAATATTTACATTGTATGGCAATATAATCTTTAAAAGTAATATACAGGTGATTTAAAGTATATTGGAAGATGTGTGTAGGACGTATGCAAATGTTAAAAACTTATGCAATTCCATATAAGGGTCTTGAGCATTGGCATGTTTTGTATATTTGGGATTCTGGAACCAATCTTCTACAGTTATCAATGGATGACTGTATTTTTTTTTCTTTTTGGTTTTTCAAGACAGGATTTCTCTGTGTAGTTTTGGTGCCTGTCCTGGATCTCGCTCACAGAGATCCGCCTGACTCTGCCTCCTGAGTGCTGGGATTAAAGGCATGCATCACGGCTGCCCGGCGGATGACTGTATTTTTTAAAAAAAATATTTTTTTTTTATTTATGAAAGAGAGAGAGAGTAGGCTATTCGTGGGTGGTATCTATGTGGGCCAGAAGAGGATGTTGGATCTCCTGGATCTGAAGTTACAGGTGGCTACCAACTGTCTGACATGAATGCTTGGATCTGAGCACCTGTCCTCTGGAAGAGCACCAAGTGCTCTTAACTGCTGAGCCATCTCCCTAGCTCCTGTATTTACTTTTGAACTAAGATCAATTGACCATGTTAAGGAAGTCTCTATTCATCTGTATTTTATTACAAATTATGGACAGAATAGAGCTGGGCATGGTGGCGCATGCCTTTGACCCCAGAACTCAGGAGGCAGAGGCAGGAGGATCTCTGGGACTTTGAGGCTAGCCTGGTTTACATAGTGAGCTCCAGAACAGACAGGGCTAGATAGAGAGACCATGTCTCAAAAAACAAAATAGAGGCTTTAGGGGCTTTTCCTTCAACTCAGTAGCTCACTCCTATTTAAGGGAGTAGTACTTTCTCTTTCTTAATAAACTGCCTCTATGTCTATTTCTTTAATAAAAAATAAAGACTATTACAAATGCCTTTTAAGAATCTATGAAAATGAGGGCCGGGGATGTGACTCAGCAGTAGACTGCTTGCTCAGCATGCACTAGGTCTTAGGTTCAATTCTCAGTACCATGTCAAAAAAAGTATCTTTCTGGGCAGTGGTAGTGCACGCCTTTAATCCCAGTACTCAGGAGGCAAAGGCAGGCAGATCAGGAGTTCAAGGCCAGCCTGGTCTACAAAGGATGTTTGGGACAGCCAGGATTAAACAGAGAAACCCTGTCTCAAAAAAAACAAAAAGAAGAAAAAAATTCTGGAAATGGTAATATTTTTTCCTAGGTAGAGTCACTGATACCATGAATTGTGTTTCTATAATAATAAACAACCATCCAGGGCTGGGTAAGTGGCTTAGCAGTTAAGAGTGTTTGGGACTTGTCCTCTGGACCTACATTGATTGGCTCACAACAAACTGTGACTCCAGCTCCAGAGGATCAGACACTCATTGCAAGTACCCCACCCAAGTGGTATACATTCAACAGACACATATGGACATAGAAATGAAATAAAAATGAACAGTACCAAGCATCCCTCTGCTTCTGATACACTGCTGGCTTCTGTTTCTAATACTTTGTTGGACCTCTTTTCCTTTTCTATCAGTCTAAAGTTCACTTTGGTACGGCCATTGTTGGTGGTGTCAGTTATAGTGGCTTCAAAAAAAAGTCTGGGAGATTTTGTTTGTTTCTTGTGAAAATGCTTTGTAATCAATATACATCCCACATAGCAAATATGAGAAAATATTGGAAATTATCTGTTTGCAGTGTGTATGTGTGTGTGTGTGTGTGTGTGTGTGTGTGTGTGTGTGTGTGTGTGTGTAGGGAGGGGTTACTGGGGACTGAACCCGGGACTAAGCAAGATCCCAAGCCCATGAGCAAATATTATTGCATTTTAGTTGTAAACTAAACAAGACTTTGTGTATAGGTATAGTAATTATCAGTTTAACTGACTTTCTAAGCAAATAATAGAGCATAGGTTTGAATAATATTAAATTTTCTTCATAGTCATTGTTAGAGTCTCTTTATCTTCAGCTACTATTGCAAAATTCCCTTACGAATTATAAATGCTCTGGGTATTTCCAGATTTCACTCTTCCCTTCACCTGGGTCTTGATTTTAACTAGAGATGCACAGTTACAGAGGAAGCACACAATTCCTAAGCAAATATAGAAGCAAATAGCTTATATCCTTCTATGCTTTAAGTCTGTTTCCTGGTTAAGGCTAGGGATATAGTAGCAAATGATTACCTAGTGGATGCAAGACCCTAAGGTCAATCCCTACCACCACAAAACAATAAAACAAGCACAAAAATAGTTCATTTAAAGTTCCAGGCTAGGGACTAGAGAGATGGCTCAGTGGTTAAGAGCACTCACTGGCTGCTCTTCCAGAGGACCTGGGTTCAGTTCCCAGCATGCACATGGAAGATTACAGCTGTCTGTTACTTCAGATCCAGGGGATCTGATACCTTCACACCAAAGCACATGAAATAAAGTTAAATTACTTTTTAAAAAAAGTTCCAGGCCAGGCTAGGTTACACGAGACCCTACTTCTCCCAAAACAAACAAGCAAGCAAACAAGCAAAAATAATGCCAAGATTTGAGCCCAGCTTGAACAGGCAGACTAGCGTTTCCTTGGATGGAAAATGTGTAAGGAATACCTGATCACGATCAACCTCTACTGGCTGCTTCTTAATGATCCAGGTAACGGACTCTGAGAGGGGTGGTGTAGTGAGAGACCCGGAGTAGGTCCAATAATCTGGGCAAGTAGGCATCAGACAGGAAGGGTCAAAAGATCCAAATTCCACCAGGGTGTCCTGTCCAAGAGAAGGAGTTACTGAGTTGTTATTATTCATTGGTGAAAGTCATTCAGGTATCAGAGGGTGAGGCAGTGATTCTAAAGGAGTGTCCAGGGATCAACAGTGGTCCAGGGGAGGTCCAGGGACTCTGAGTAGCTTCTGAAACAATCATCACTACTTAACACAAAATCACACTGTGTATTTCTGATAGTTCTCCCTGGGAGAACAGCCAAAACGTTTTCTCCTTCAATTTCTGTTGGGAGGTATTAGGTAGTGGTGGCTCATAAACAGAGAGGTTTCTCTTCTTCGAGAGACACTAACGCTGATTGTCCTTTCAAACTAGCACAGAGCTGAGGGTGTAGCGCAGTGGTAGACAGCTAGACAGCTTGCCTAGCATGCTCAAGGCACTGAGTTCCATCCCTGGCACCGCAATGAAGGAGGAAGGGGGGGGGGAGGAGGAGGAGGAAGGAAGGGGGTGCCAGAATCCTGGACTAAGGAGAAATAGAAAAACAGGGAGACAGGAAACGAGGGAGGGAGGGGAACAGGAAGACAAGAGAACAGAAGAATGGCACACTAATTTCCGGGAAGCAGCCCCCACGGGATTCTGAATTTTGAGGACTTCATCGTGACAGTTGGACAGTGGACACGGAGTTCTTCACTTCTAGACAAGTTAAGTTTTTGGAAAACACTTCTCCCTCCCTACTCGTGGGAGGTAGCTGGAGAGAAGGCTGTTCTGAGTGTTTCTACAAAGATGGAGAAGGAGCTGTCAGGAGCAGAGTAAATTCCCGTGCAGCACGTACTCAGCCAAACCAGAAAACTCCACCAAGGTAACCTCTCCTGTGCCCTGCAGTGTTTAACCTCCTCTGTGCCTGCTCTCCTCCTACAGCAGTGTTGAAAGAGACCTGAATGCAGTTCATTTAATTTGTCTTCCTGCTTCAAAGTGCATTATCAACTCGAAGATGCAAATATAAAATATGCTTCAAGTGATGTAAGGGGGAAAATTACCTTGTGCTTAATTGATGGCAAAGTGTCCACCAGTTTCTGTAGTTCTTTATGATGTTTACCTAGCTAAATAAAAAGAAGAAATATTAGCTGGGCGGTGTTGGCGCACGCCTTTAATCCCAGCACTTGGGAGGCAGAGCCAGGTGGATCTCTGTGAGTTCGAGGCCGGCCTGGACTACCAAGTGAGTTCCAGGAAAGGCGCAAAGCTACACAGAGAAACCCTGTCTCGAAAAACCAAAAAAAAAAAAAAAAAAAAAGAAGAAATATTACATTCAATGGCCATCTCACTGCAGAAACTCAAATAGAATGTGAATCAAAATTAACCACCTGGTGGTTACATATAAACAAACCACAGGACTGCAACTAGATTCCAGCTGGTAATTACAACTATTATAAACACCACTAAATTAAATTAGACTTAGAACAAAATGAACAGGCTCTTTGCTGGCAAGACCAGCGCGTCTATAGAGAAAGGTGCCTCCTGCTCCAATTAAGTATCATTTCTTACACTGAATTTTAAATTGATGAAATTATAAATTACCCTGCATTTTACTAATCCCTTCCCCCAAGGCAGGGTTTTACCATGTAGCTTGGGCTGGTCTCAAAGTCTTGATCCTCTTGCCTCAACTTCCCAAACTAAGCATATTTCAAGTGTTCACTTGCCCAGATGGCTTGTGTCTACTTTATTTGGCTGTGTATTTTTAAGACTTATTTTATTTTTTATTTTATGTATGTATGTGTGCATGTGTGGACAGATGCCCATGGAGTACAGAAGAGGGTGTTGAATCCAATGAGGATTGTGAGTACCTGATGTGCATACTGGGAATTGAGGATCAGTCTTCTACAAGATCAGCAAGCACTCTAGACCGCCAAGCCATTGCCCTAGGCCCTGGACTACATTTTTATACCATTTGAAATATATTCATAATAGTTATTGATTTTAACCACTGTTTATTTTTACCTTCTATATATAAAACATACATATTTTTAGATAGTCTCACTATGTAGTCCTGGCTGGCCTCAAACCCACAGATCCTGTACCTCCTGAGTACTAAAATTAAAGGTGTGTGCCACCACACTTGGCCTGGTACTAATATTCTTTTTAAAATATTAATTGTACAGAATAATGAATTTTCTTGTGATAGTTCCATACACTTATATCATATACTTTAATAATATTAATTTTCCATTCCTCTCCCTCCTCCTCCCCTCTCCTATTGATCCCAACATTCTTTTTTTTTTCCTTTTTTGGTTTTTCTCTGTGTAGCCCTGGCTGTTCTGGAATTCACTCTGTAGATCAGGCTGGCCTCAAGCTCAGAGATTCACCTGCCTCTGCCTCCTGAGTGTTGGGATTAAAGGCGTGTGACAACATGTTTGACCCAATGTTCTTTCTTTTTGAAGATTCATTTTTATTAGGTTTAAGTGTGTGTGTGTGTGTGTGTGTGTGTGTGTGTGTGTGTGTGTGCACATGAGCGTAGGAAGGGTTAATGTGCATTTGATTGAAGACATTCAGAACCCCTAGAGCTGGACTTACAGGCAGTCAGAAGTTGGTGGATGTGAGTGCTGGGAACTGAACTGGGATCCTCTGCATGAGTAATACATGTTCTTAACCATTAAGCAATCTCTACAGATATTTTTTTCCTTTTAATTCTAAATTTTCTTCAAATAAGTAACTTACATTGTAATGTTCTATCTTTTCAGTGTAAGACACAATATATCATTTGAACTTGGTGAGATGGTTTGTTTGCTTGCTTGCTTGAGACAGGGTCTCTGTCTATCGGGCTGGCTGTTCTGGAATTCATCATGTAGGCCAAGTTGGCCTGGAACTCAGAGTTCCGCCTGCCTCTGCCTCCCAAGAGCTGAGATTAAAGGTGTGCCACCGTGCCCAGCCTGAGTTTTTGTTTTTACCTTTAAAAATACACCTATCACAGCCAAACCATTTTCTTCCAGTGCTGCATCCTCAAAGCTTTCAAATTTGACTGCATTCCAATGTACCAAGTGCAGCTGAAACAACAGAGACAGTGGGGTTTCTACATGACCATGTAGGATTGCACCCAAATAAACTGACAGCCCCACCCAACATGGAACATTTAATCTTGTTTCATCACTCCAAATGGAGCCACTGAAAAAATATATGGCAGTCTGGTGCACACTGAGATCGACATAAAGAATGGGAAGAAGACATTGTGGCAAGAACAGCGATATTACTTTGGAAGAGAGGGATTTGTTAGGAGAGAAAAAATAAAATTCACATGATAAAGTAACTTCGCAATGATGGATCAACATTTTCTTCATTCCTACCCTGATTTGCATGAAATACTAATATCCCCAATCCATTTGCATCTAAAGGAGAGAAGATGTTTATATGAAGAGAAATGCATTCTCCCTATGAAAATTAGATGGGAGCTAAAGACAAATTTCTTCTTGGAGGGATGATCACTTAAAATGTTTTCATTTTTAGCATCACATTTAAAACTAAATTAAGGGAAAAGTTGCAAGATGAAATTCTATTTGCAAGGAGAAATTCGATTTCCTCGGGCTCTGTTTGCATTTCCATATCCATCATTCTTCAGCCATCATTCTCAAACCTGCATTACCATCACCTAACTTCCCAAGTGAGCCACTTCAAAGTCCCAGTTAAGCTTCCCCCTCGGAGCCCAGCTGCAAGCTCTGGTGCTTTGGCACTCTGATTTCAGAAGCCTTGGATGCTTTTTCCGTTTCTCTCTCTCTCTTTTGCTGCAGCCTTCACTTAGACTCCCACCAAAATAAACTTGGGTTTAACGAAGTCTTACAGCTCTACGGTAGCTTGTGGCTTTAGGAATGACTACACGTAGCTCAGAATTCAGAAATAATTCTGTTCCAATTTTCAACATTTATTTATTTTATGTTTCTGAGTGTTTGGCATGCATGTATATCTGTGTATCATGTATGTGCCCGGTGCCTGCTGAGGCCAGAAAGGGCATCAGATCCCCTGGAACTGGAGTTATAAATGGTTGTGGCACCATGTGAGTGTGGGGAACTGAACCCAGGTCCTCTTGCAAGAGCAATAAGTGCTCTTAACTGTTGACCTATCTCTCCAGCCCCGGAATTCAGTTTTATCATCTTCAGGTTTATTTCTTGTATACTCTTCAGAATGGATATATTTTACATGTAGAAGATGGGAAGGCTCAAGTATGTCCTGTGCAAGCTAAATAGGTCTTAAAGCACCATCTGAGACGTCTTGGTAATTTCTTTGAACTAGAAACCTCAGAACTATCCCCATTGTTCCAAACCTCTTTGGGACCTTTTCAACATACTTCTGCTGTTCAAGCCAGGTATGAATATCTTTAATCCCAGCACTTGGGAGGCAGAGGCAGGAGGATTTCTGTGAGTTCAAAGCCAGCCTGGTCTACAGAGTGACCCCCAGGACAGCCAAGGCTACAGGAATTAAAAATAAAAGAAGGAAAGGAAACATACCTCTGCTGGGTAGCATTTGCTGTCCACAGTGTGCTCGGAACCCCAGGCATCAATGGCCCCCCAGTGAAAATGAAACTGCTTCAGTCGGTAGTTGTGTTCCAGGGGTCCTCCCTCAATCACTGAAATGACACATCCAGCAATTCAGAGAACGTGGGGAAAAGGTGGACCCCATCCTTGAATCATTCAGAGTATACGATATCACATACAAGTATTTATAAAACTGATTTCCATGAAGTAAAAACATGTATAAAGAAAGATTCAGCCAAATAATATCAAGACTGAATCACACACCAAGCAACATACAAATATTAAAGGCTAGATCTCAGCTTAATTAATTACAAGTTTTCATGTATCCCAGGCTAGCCTCAAATTCACTATATAGCCAAGGATGACCTTGAACCTGATTTTACTTTACCTCCTGAATGCTGGGATTACAGATTGACTTGTTTTTGCATCTGTAGTTATTGGGCCTAGTTTCCATTGTGTGAAATAAAATGCAAATTTCTCTTGGTGTATTTATCCCATTCAATCAGATAAAACCAAACTATGCAGACAAAAGATAGTATAAAAAGTTTTCTAATTCATTTAGGCCAGCCTTCCCTCAAACTAAGAATTACCCTGTCTTAGCCTCCCAAGAGCTGGCTTTAAAGGTATGTTTTACCATGTTCATTCTCCTTCTTGGAAAAAAAATGTTAATACATTTATTTGTGTGTGTGTGTGTGTGTGTGTGTGTGTGTGTGTGTGTGTGTGTGTGTGTCCCAGGCACCATCAGGCTTGGCAGTAAGCATCTTTATCTGCTGAGCCATCTCACCAGTCCCCATCCTTTTTCTTTATCTATACACTAACACCTTCCTTTTCAACTTTTGGAGTTTTGTTTTGAGACAAGGTTTCATTATGTTACCCTGGATGGTCTGGAACTTGCTATGTTGACCAGGCTGGCCTCACAGAGAGATTCACCTTCCTCTACCTTTGGAGTGTTGGGATTAAAGGTGTGAACTGCCATGCCTGGCTCTTTGCAACTTTGGGGTTCTTTTTCTTTGATTGGTTTGGGTTTGGCTTTTTTCAATGTTAAAAAAAATGTTTTATGTGTATGGGTGTTTTGCCTGCATGTTTTTGTCTGTGGATCACATGCATGCCTGGTGCTTATGGAGGCCATAAGAGGGCATCAGAGCCCTTAAAATTGGAGTTACAGATGGTTGTGGGCCATCATAGATGTGAGGAATCAAACTTAGGTCCTCTGGAAGAGCAGTCAGTGCTCTTAACTGCTGAACTATGTCTCCAGACCCCTCTTGTCAACTTTTGAACATACTAGTGTTTCTTTCACTTTTGTTGAAATGGAATAGAACATTTGCAAGACAAAAACTATCACCAGGGAGATATGGCCCAAGAGCACACAGTTTCCAATAATTAGACTAGCATTTTCAAGATCTATTGCACAGCATGGTGGCCATAGCGAATAGAAGCATCTATTCCAAGTGTTCTACAAGAGTAGATTTTTTTTTTTTTTTTTTTTTTTTGGTTTTTCGAGACAGGGTTTCTCTGTGTAGCTTTGCGCCTTTCCTGGAACTCACTTGGTAGCCCAGGCTGGCCTCGAACTCACAGAGATCCGCCTGGCTCTGCCTCCCGAGTGCTGGGATTAAAGGCGTGCGCCACCACCGCCCGGCTAAGAGTAGATTTTAAATGTTCTCACTACAAATGGTATGTGAGGTGATGGATACATTAATCAGCTTGATATCATCATTCAACAATATGTACATATACAAAAATATATACTGCATTCCATCAATATATACAGTTATTGTCAGTAAATAAGAGACACAACAATTATTACCCAGCTCCCTTGAGACAGAATAAGCAATGTGAACCATCACACAGTTCACCACTAGCGTTAGTGATAACAAACACCTTTTGTTTAAACTATTTTTTTGAACACCAATGAAATCAGTACAGTATATTTATATTGTATAAGAATATTTAGCCAGGTGGTGGTGGCACACACCTTTAACCCCAGCACTTGGGAGGCAGAAGCAGGCGAATATCTATGAGTTAGAGGCCAGTCTGGTCTACAAAGTGAGTTCCAGGACAGCTAGGGTTATATAGAGAAACCCTGTCTCCGTGTAAAACTAAAACAACAACAAAAAAGAATGTTCAGGAAAAATAACTTTTAGAAGCAGTCCTGTGGGCTGCTCATGCCTTTAATCCCAGTACTCTGGAGGCTGAGGCAGGCAGATCTCTATGAGTATGAGGCCAGCCTGGTCTAGATAGCATGCTTCAGGTCATTCAAGGCTACATAGTACAACCTGGTCACAGGAGGGGAAAAAAGTCACTGTGAGATACACTTTGAGCTGTGCTGATCCCCACGCCCAACTCTGCTAAAGCATATCAGCTCCTTATTTCTTCTGTCTCATTAGACTCTAGACTCTAGCAACATCTGTACATGGTCAAAGCAACCCAGCAGCACTACAAGCACCCATCTTGTGCATCTTAATGGTCTTCAGAGTTTACTATGTCATCAGTTGCAACTTACGTGCACAAATGATAGAGTCTGGAAACCCCAAGGACCAAATGCACTGATGTATCAGGCAGTGGTCAGCTCTGTATCTTACCGGCCTCTAAAGTTTACTCACATAATTTCTTCTTTAAATAATGGTGTTGCCAGGGATGGTGGCACAAGCCTTCAATCCTAGCACTCAGGAGGCAGAGGCAGGTGGATCTCTATGAGTCTCCATGGTAAAACCTTGTCTGAAAAAAAGTGGGAAGTGGGGCGTGACATTTTCATTAAAGTCACCAAGGTTGATTTTTTCTTTGGAGGGCAGGGGTGATGTAGAGTTAATGGCCCAAATCATTATTTTAATAGGAACACAATACTACAATGAACTGAAATAAAAATGTTCCCTTCCCCTAAAAAAAAAAAATACTTTTTTTGAAGTAGGGTTTCATGTAGTAGAGGCTAGCTTTGGATTCACTGTGTAGCAGAGGATGGCCTTGAACTTCTGATCCTCCTGTCTCCACCTCCCAAGTGCTGAGATTACCCATGTGTGCCACCGGGTCTTTTTTTGTTTCTGTTTTCTTTTGTGGTGCTGATGCTTGCTTGCTTGACTTTGTGCATGCCAGGCAAGCATTCTACCAAGTGAGCTACATGCCCAGCTCCATTTTTCTAAAGCTCTAAACTGTGAACATGCTTTTGCCAAATATTTAATCTAATCTTCTGAATAAAACTGAAGTTCTAATCCCAGGTAAAGTGACACAGAGAAAAGGGCCAGGTTTTCTCTTTTTCCCTAGGACAACACTGGAAATTGCTAGCCTGTCCCTTGACTGCGTGTTTCCTCCAAAGACGATGAGCAAAGCAGAGAGATGTCCCCAACAAGTGGTTGTGAGGGAAATGAGAGGCAGCACTGGTCTCGGTATGTTTCAGTTCTCCACAGAGCCTCGGTTCACACCACATTAAAGACAGCTTTAAATTCACGTGCCCAAATTTAAAGCTGGAAAATGTCAGGCCTAAAACAATAACTCCATGGTTAAACTGCTTGTGCCCAAGTGTGAGGACTAGAGTTTGAATCCCCAGAACCCACATCAAATGCGAGGTAGGTGGGTGGGTGGGCGAGGTGCGCCACCTGTAATTCCAGCCTAGGAAGCAGGGACTGGAGATAGCCAGAGTAAGCTAGCTAGCAAGACTAGCATCAGCAGCAGGCTCTGGTTTGGATCGGCAGACCAACCAATAGGGAGGAAGAGAGGTTGAGGATGACTCCTGAAACCAATCTCAGGCTTCCACATGTCCATGTGCTACCACAAGTATGCAAAAAACATGCACACCACACACATACGAAAAATGGAAACAGGAAAAAACTAAAGCTGGACAATTTCATGCAAAAATACGTATTTTTAACCTGACTTGCATCAGTGAGACGCCTTTGGCCATGATGGGCACACAATTTCATTGGACAGCAGCCTGGGTGGGTGCAAAAGCTGGCCCCTTGAGTAGACCCATTTGTTCTCCATTGCTACTGTTTCCTTCGAACTCTGCATGTCTCACTAACTCTCATTAGCTCCCTGGCCTGTAGATAGAACCACATGGTGGTTCCTGGGAACAAAGAGGTTAGAGGACCAGCACTGGCTCCCGCACTTAACTAAGTTACAACATCCTTAGTGTGTGCTTAGCATCATATCTATGTAAACTGTACAACAGGGAGAGGCACATAATATGGTTGAGAGGGTGAACCCTGAAGGAAAAGAACCTTGCTTTGAACCCATTGGCTATGTGTCATTGAGACCCCATAGCAAGGAGTTAGACAGGAGGTAACCAAGGAAACAGTAGCTCTATGTTGGGAGTTGTGTCTCTTGGTTTCGGAGGGAGATGAGACATGAGGAAATTAGTCAAACTGTAACTGTACACCGGGAGCTTGGCCTCCTGTGGTTCTCAATGCCCCATTGTAGTTAAACACCCTTGAAGCTGCAGTTACATTTGTCCCCGTGTATCAGAAACCCAGGCCACAGGAAACAAAGGGACCAGCTTCCACCCTGCCTGCTTGCTTGCAAAGCCTGAAGAACTTCCTTAATCACCAAACATGCTCACTAGCAAAGAGTCTGCTTCCTCACTAGCTCCAGGCTTCGTATAGTATTCCCTGCATTGGGAGTTTTTAGAAAAAAATTTATATGTACGAGTGTTTTGCCCGCATGTGTGTATGTGTACCACATGTGTGCCTGGTACCCAGGGAGGTCAGAAGAGGGTGTCAGCTCCCCTATAAATGGAGTTATGGGTAGTTGAGAGTTACCACGTAGGTGCTGGAAACTACCTAGGTACTTTAGAAGAGCAGTAAGTGCTCTTAATCACTGAGCTGTTGCTCCAGCCCTACATTGTGGTTTTGACACACTCCTTTAAGAGGCTTTTAAGAGGATCACAGGAAGAAATGCCCTAAAAGGGAGATCTGGTCCACCATGATCTGAGAGGGTACTAAGGGTCACCTTACTTCTATGAATATGCTACCACCTCGTAAATATTGATTAAAACGTCTTTAAAACTCAATGCAATAGTGGTTCCTGACCTTTGGTCCACCTTGGCTTGGTCCATTCTCTTCTGAGTGCATGGTTTGCTTTACTCTGCTTAAATAAGCTTCTGCTT